CTGTGAGTTGGCCATGGGTAGTTGGCTGTAGAAAGTTGGCCTTGGTTAGTTGGCCATGGAGAGCTGGCCGGGGGGGAGGGATTGACCATAGAGTGTTGGCTGTGGCAAGTTGGCCATGGCAAGTTGGCCACAGAAAATTGATCACAGAGAGTCGGATGTGGTGAGTTGCCCTAGACCTGTGATGGTGAACCTATGGCACATGTGCCCCAGCTGGCACATAGAGCCCTCTCGGTGGGCATGCGAGACATCGCCCAGCTCAGCTCCACCGTGCATGCGCACATGCCTCCCACCAGCCAGCTGATTTTTGGGTCTCTGCCGTGCATGTGTGTGGGGGTCGGCATGCATGTGCGTGGGGTGGGGGTCGCACATGCATGTGCTGGGGATGTGGAGGAGCGCAGGGGGTGCCGCATGCCCCCCCCATGGCCTGTGTTTGGTCCCAGGAGACTGTAGGGAGGCCTACCAGGCCCAAAATGGGCCTGGCATGGGGGACAGGAGGAGCACGGGGAGTCATGCATGCATGTGCAGGGGGGCAGTGGTTGCGGGGTAGGGTGTCGCTTTCGGCACGCGACGACAAAAAGGTTATATATCACTATCCTAGGCCCATCAAATGCACCCTCTTACTTGCTTCATCTGTTTGCTTATTTAACCCATTTATTTATTCTTTCCTAAGTCCGCAGCATGTCCCAGTCCCTTTCTTTTTTTTTTCACAAAGTTGTATGATTGGATAAAGCATCCTGAAATCTGTAATGAGAAAGAATGCACTGTATGAATCAAGCATAAACAGGGGCACAGGACAGCGGTGGGTTGCCCCCGGTTCGGACTGGTTCGCAAGAACTGATAATAAAAACCACAAACCCAGACGTCATCAGGAAGTTCTACTTACCTTTACTACTGGTTCTCAATGGGACCGCGGACATGTGTGTGCTTCTGTGCATGTGCAAAAGAACACGTGTCTGTGCGATCCCATTGCGAACTGGTAGTAAAGGTAAGTAGAACCCACCCCTGGCACAGGGGCATATTACACCATTACGAAAAGGTTAATGCCACAAGTAAATGGGTCCTACTCAGGATGAAATGCTCCCGGTTCAGACCGGATCGCCCGATCCGGTAGCGATGGAGGTGGGTGGTTCAGAGAACTGGTAGCAAAAATCCCTGCCTCCCACCCACCCCCCCATTGCCCAGCTGAGCTGCACAATCATCAGAGGCTTTTTTTTTAATTTTAAAAGCATTTTTTTCTACAACCTCTTTGGCCGAAAAAATGCTTTTAAAAGTTAAAAAAAAAGCCTCTGATGATCGCACGGTTGAACTGGATCATCAGAGGCTTTTAAAAAAAAAGCTTCTGCTGATCAGGCAACTCAACTGGGATCGTCAGAGGCTTTTAAAAGCATTTTAAAAACAACCTCTTCAGCCAAAGAGGTTGTAGAAAAAATGGTTTTAAAAGTAAAAAAAAAAAAATTGGACACGCCCACTCAGTCATATTACCACTACCCGCCACCAAGCCATGCCCATAGAACTGGTAGTAACAAATTTTACATTTCATCACTGGTCCTACTCCTTGGAGAGACTCTTCATACTATAGCAAGGATGAGAATCTCTCCCAGTCCCAGTCAAGATAAGGCAGGAAAACAGAGGCAGGTAGTAGACTTCAACTTACAACTTTTCACTTCCTGGCCATTCAAAGTTACAATGGTACTGGAAAAGGTGATTTACGGCTGTTTTTCACACTTATGGCCATTACAGCATCCCCATGGTCAGGTGATCAAAATTCAAATGCTCGGCAACTGACTTGTACTTATAACAGTGCAGTGACCTGGATAATGTGATCCCCTTTTGCGGCCTTCTTAAAAGCAAAGTCACTAGGGAAGATAGATTCACTTAACAACAGGGTTCCTAACTTACAACCTTTCCAAGATACTTACGGGGATCAAAATTCAGATGCTTGGCAACTGACATGTACTTATGAATAAATAATAATAATAATAATAATAATAATAATAATAATAATAATAATAATAATAATAATAATAATAATTTTATTTCTATATCACCCTTCTCCCGAAGGACTCAGCCTGATAAAAAGCACAAAGACAAACAAAATTTAAAAATAATTAAAATTATTAAATAATTGGCTCAATTATAAAACCCCCAAATTTAAAATCCCACATTTAAAACCAATTAAAATCTTTACATCGATAGGCCGCCTGGCGGAACAACAAGGTTTTGAGGGCACAGCGAAATACACGGAGGTCGGAGATCTTACGCATTTCTGGGGGCAGTTCATTCCAAAGGGCAGGGCCTTCCACAGAGAAGGCCCTCCCCTGGGTGTCGCCAGCCAACATAATTTGGCCGATGGCACCCTGAGAGACCCTCTCTGTGGGAGCGAACTGGCCGGTGGGAGGCTACTGGTGGCAGAAGACGGTCTCGAAGGTACCCGGGTCCTATGCCATGGAGTGCTTTAAAGGTGGTAACCAACACCTTGAATCGCACGAAGACCAGTTGCAGTATTCCAGGGTCATGTGGACCCCTTTGATGGCTTTCAGACAAGTAAAGTCATTTCTACTCTAGGGAAAGAGCAAACTGAATATTATACGATATGGGAAGTATTTTATCAATGGTTGAAGAATAAAAATGGAGTTTGGAAATAAAGGAGACCAAAAATAAGTAGAAAATGTATTAAGAAAGAGTTATAAATAAGATGAAAAATGTTAGCATATGTATGAATAGGCAAATGATATTTGATGTCAACAGGGTATTACTATTGAAAGATGCTAAGAAGGAATTGGGGAATTTTTACAATATTTAAATGTGTAATGTACTTAACATATCATGGCCTAGGCCCGGGATATCTGTCGGACCCCCTGCAGACAGCGACAATTCCCAATCGCCCAGTGCGTTCCCACAGACAGGGCCTCGTCAGGGAGCCGTCGGCCAGACAGTGTCAGCTGGCGACCCCCAGGGGGAGAGCCTTCTCTGTGGGCGCACCCACCCTCTGGAACCAACTTCTGTTGGAGCTCCGGATGGCCCCTGACCTTCGCTCGTTCCGCCGCGAGTTGAAGACCTGGTTGTTCCGTAGCCTGGACTGATGGGGGAGGGGGGGTTAATGAATTTTAAACTGTTTTAAATTGGGTTTTAATTTTATATTGTTTTAATAAGGAACTATGCATTTTACCGTTGTGAGCCGCCCTGAATCCTCGGAGATAGGGCGGCATATAAATTGCATAAAATAAATGAATAAATAATATTACAAAATTAATGTTAAGGTGAATGTGAAAGATGTGATAAATGAGGAACGATGTAGCACAGAGATGTTTGTACCAGTGGTGAAATCTAAAATTTGTTAATACCGGTTCTGTGGATGTGGCTTGGTGGGGGGGGGGGTAATGTGACTGGATGGGCATGGCCAATTTTTTTTTTAACTTTTAAAACCATTTTTTTCTACAACCTCTTCGGCAAAGAGGTTGTTAAAAAATGCTTTCAAAAAGGCTCTGACGATCCCAGCTGAGTTGCCTGATCGGCAGAGGCTTTTTAAAAAGCCTTTGCCGATCAGGCAACTCAGCTGGATCATCAGAGGCATTTAAAAGAAAAAAAGGTTTTTTTTTCTTTTAAAAGTCTTTGATGATCCCAGCTGAGCCGCACGATCATCAGAGGCTTTTTTTTTTTTTTACTTTTAAAAGCATTTTTTCGGCTGAAGAGGTTGTAGAAAAAATACTTTTAAAAGTAAAAAAAAGGCCTCTGATGATTGTACGGCTCAGCTGGGCACGGAGGGGGGGCAGAGATTTTTGCTACTGGTTCTCCGAACCACCTGCCTCCATCGCTACCGGATCGGGCGATCCGGTCCGAACCGGGATCATTTCACCCCTGGTTTGTACCCAGACGACACACTGCATAAGGAAAGATGGAATGTTTGATATTTGTTTTGTTTTTTTAAAAAAATAAAAAATGTATAAAAAAGAGAAAAAGAAAATTTTACACATGCATACACAGAAACACACATGCACAAACACACACACACATGTTGCAGTCCACGATTTTGTGGAGATTCTTCTCGGCTTACTTTCCTCCTTAAATAGTGTGTTGGATGATGTGGTCTTTATGTAAATCACCAAGATGAAGCATTTTCTCTTAAAGAACAATCTTCCTGGGCGGCCCATCAGTTCTGCAAACAAGAAAAAAGAAAAAAAAGAAAGAAGTGTGAGAGAGAGAGAGAGATGAATGAAGCAGGAAGAACGGAGATGAACACCTTAGCAGAATTCCTGCTTTTATTGAGCCTTTTCCAGGTTGGAATGGAAGAACGGAGTTAATGATGGCATGGAAGCAAAGACCAGCTAACTTACATATTTATTACTTTGATCTGAACCTTCTCTTTCTACCCTGGGCGGGGGGGGGGTAGCGAGGTGGTGGGGGTCCAGGATAGTCAACTAGCAATATAGATGAAATAGCACTCAGAACTAAAGCTACATTCATGGAGACTCTTAATTCAAAGGGCTTAGTAGACAAGCAAATTCTGAAGATGGAAATTACATTCCACAATTCAGAAGTGGTACAGGAGGTAGCACACAGAACATAGAATAATAGAGTTGGAAGGGGCCTTGGAGGTCTTCTAGTCCAACCCCCTGCTTGAGCTGGAGACCCTATACCGTTTCAGATAAATGATGGTCCAGCTTCTTTTTGAAAGCCTCCAGTGATGGAGCACCCACAACTTCTGAAGGATTCTGATTGCTCTCATCGATAGGACATTTCTTCTAGAATTGTAACTTGTTGAGGATAGGAGATTGTTAGAAGAAATTGCACCTGCTGTAGATCCACCCATTTCTGCTTTCCTCCATTGTTCTGGAGCTAGAGAGATCTGTAGGAAGATCTCTCAAGAACTTCCTGAATGTTTCTTATTCCAGGAGCCGAATCAAAGACTTTGATTCTAACCTTTCTTTTATTTTTACCAGGTGTTTTCTCCAATGTGCAGCTGTCCCAGTCCCTTTTTAAAGTGCAGAGCGCCCGGACAATCGGTCAAACTGGACTGTGCTGTTTCTGGAGTTGAAGTTGATGGTTGGTTCTGGGGTTGGAACCGAAAATGTCCAGGAAAAAGTTTTGAATGGCTGGGAGGAATTAAGAGCGTTAACCAAGGAGGGGACACCTACTACAATTCAGTTTTAACAATAGAATTGTTATCACAAGAGACACTTCCAAAAATGAAGTCTACCTTGAGTTGAGATCTTTGACAACCTCAGATAGAGCAGTATATTTCTGTGCCCGGCACAGAGCACTATAAGAGAAAGCTACAGAGCACCGATACCAAAACCACACAGAGTCAGCCATCCGCAAAATTCTGTCTCCATTGAGTTCTCATTCGTTATAAAATTTTTCTACTCTGCTTCCCTTTCAAATTAGTTTCCAAAGGGTAGTAAAGGAAAGGATATGCCCAGTGGTGGGATTCAAATTTAACAACCAGTTCTCTGCCCTAATGACCAGCTGGGTAGGCGTGGCTTGGTGGTCATGTGACCATGTGTGGCCAACTCAACGTCACTGACATCGATGGGCGCTTCGCTTTAGCTGTTACAATGTAATAAGGGTTAACTATAGAGGCAGTTTCTGTAAGCAGGGCAATAAAGATTAGGCTAGAAACAACAGCAGAATGTTTCCTTCCTGCCTTCCTTACAGGATTAGCCCTGTAAAGTGGAAAAAAACAAAATAAGATTTCTTCCAACAACCAGTTCTCCGAACTGCTTAGAAAGTTAACAACTGGTTCTCCCGAATAGGTGAGAACTGGCTGAATCCCACCACTGGATTTGCCCATCTTCTATCAAATGCCTAAATAGGACAACTCACCACATCCAATTCGCCATGGGGTAGCTTGCTACAGTACGAATCAACATGTCAATTTGCAAAGCATCCCTGGCTTGCTCTTGAGTTGCCATAGGCCAGGGGGGATGGGAAAACGGTAAAATGGCACAGCAGGCAACGACAGATGCACATTCCATGCTTATCTCTCTCAAGGCTGTATCCCAGGATTACCCACAGCGACCAGAGGGGAGTGACTTCTACAACCCGTGAAATTGTTCCATTGGCGAATATGATTGATGACACACTCTGGGGGGAGAGGGGGGAAAACTGGGTCATAATTGGAGCTGGGTCAGAGCTGGCTTCATCTGGGAACATGCCAACATGAAGCTCCTAATAAATGTCTGGATTTCTTTTGAAGCTTGGCTCGAGAGTCATGATTTAATTAGGGCATCCGTCGGAACCCTGACACAACAATTCAATTTAATTATTTAATATAATTTAAAAAATATTTTAATTGTTGTCCTTCACATTTCATGTTGTCCTTCCTTTTGCATCCTTTCTTTAATGATTCTACTCCACCATTTCTTTGATATTAGTGTAACTTTTGTCCATGGTGAGTTGGCCACAGAGTGGGGGCTGTGGGGAGTTGAAGGCAATGAGTTGGCTCTGGCAAGTTGGCCATGGAGAATTGGCCACAGAATGTTGGCCATGGAGATTTGGCCACCTGGACTTGAGTACGGTGAGCTGGCAGTGGCAAATTGGCCATGGTAAGTTGGCCACTAAGAGTTGGCCGCTGAGAGTTGGCCCCAAAGTGTTGGCTGCAGAGAGTTGTTCTAGAGTCATCAAATTGGTTCCTCCCTTTGCTTATGTAATCCATTTACATACTCTTTCCTATGTCTGTAGCATGTCCAAGTCTCTTTCTTGTATCATTGGATAAATCATCTTGAAATCTGTAACAAGAGAGTATAAACAAATGTTGCATAAACAGGGACATATGCACATTTGCAGCAACCCTGTGGTCATGTAAGCCGCCCTGAGTCTCCAGAGAAGGGCGGCATATAAATCGAACCAATAAATAAATAAATAAATAAATAAATAAATAAATAAATAAATAAATGTGATCAAAATTCAAATGCTTGGCAACTGTGTTGTGACTCCGACCCCCGAGGCCGATTTATCGGAGGGAGAAGGCTCCGAACATGAAGGAGAGGAGTTGGCCAGGCCTCCCTCTCCAGGACCCTCCTCTCTGACAATGCCTCAGGTGTCTCCTGAAGGAGAAGAGATTGGCCAGGTGCCAGGTATCTCCTCACAGTCGGACAGTGACGGAGATAAATCTTGGCTGGATCCATGCTAGCATTGGAGAGACAAGCGCACGCAGCAGAAAAGGAGGCGTGCCAGAGATTAAGCTGAGTCACTGGACCACACCCCACAGGGGATAAAAGGGGGTGAGGTGGCCATTCAGACTCTGTGACGAACAAAACTAACTACTAGCGAGTCACATTGTATCTTTGAAACAACGTTATCTGCCTTGGATTTAATACGGACTGGACTTGACAATTCTTGAACTGTGTGTATCTTGTTTGGGTTTATCTGTCGGAGGAACAACCCCTCCCTCTATGAGTAAAGTTCTTGGTAAGCAGTTACTGGGTTGCTGCCAATCCTCTTATCAAAAGAATTTGTTGTCTGCCCGTTTTATTTAATCCCTGACTATCTGTTTGTATGCGTGTGTGAGACGGGGACAGAACAAACTGACTTGTATTTATAACAGTGCAATGTCCTGGATAATGTGGAGTGCGTGGTGGCCTAGAGGTGGAGCTCTCACCTCACAATCAGCAGGCTGTGAGTTCGATCCAAGGTAAAGGCAGATATTTCTCTCTTTGGGCAAACTGAGAATATATCTGCTGAACAAAACTCCGCATTGGCGACGGGAAGGGCATCTGGTCATTAAAACTCTCTGCTAGCTTCGTTCAGTTGCCCAAACTCCAGCCTGCAAGGGATTATGAGAACCCAGATTGTTGGGGGCAATATGCTATTTAGTATACTGTCTTTGTTGTAAGCCACCCAGAGTCGTCGGAGAGAAGGCGACATAGAAATACTACCACCAGTAGCCTCCCACCGGCCGGTACGCTCCCATAGAGAGGGGCTCCTCCGGGTGCCTTCGGCCAAACAATGCCGACTGGCAGCCCCCAGCGGGAGAGCCTTCTCTGTGGGGGCACCTACTATCTGGAACGAGCTCCCCCCAGAGATACGGAGGATCCCGGATCTGCGCACCTTCCACCATGCTCTAAAGTCCTTTTTATTTCACCAGGCAGGCCTGGCCTAATTTTCTCCCTCTTTTATAAAAGAATTTTTAATTTTTAATATTTTTTAGTATTTTATATATTCAAATTTTAAAATTGGTTTTAAATTGATTGGGGTTTTAATCTGTCTGGGCCAAAACTATTTAATTTGATTTTAATTTCGCTTTTAAATTTTGTATGTATGGATTTTATTGTTGGCTGTTCACCGCCCTGAGTCCTTCAGGAGTAGGGCAGTATAGAAATCAAATCAAATCAAATAAAATAAATAAATAAATAAATAAATAAATAAATAAATAAATAAGAATAATAAATAAATTATGGGGTTGTTAAATGAAATGAAATGAATAAAGTAGAATAGAATTCTTTATTGGCCAAGTGTGATTGGACACACAAGGAATTTGTCTTGTTGCATACGCTCTCGGTGTACCTAAAAGAAAAGATACATTCATCAAGAATCAATGTCCTGGATAATGTGATTGCCTTTTGTGCTTTCTTATAAGCAAAGTCATTGGGGAAGCCAGATTCACTTAACAACTGGGTTACTAACTTAACAAGCATGGTGATTCACTTATCAACTGTGGCAAGAAAGATCTTGCTCAACAACAGAAAATTTGGACTCAATTGTGGTCGTAGGTCAAGAACTACCTGTATATATGCTTTCCCATGCCCACAGCATGTCCAAGTCCCTTTTCTTTTTTTCACAAAGTTGTATGATTGGATAAAGCATCTTAAAATCTGTAACGAGAAAGAATATACTGTATAAATCATGCATAAACAGAGGGCCATGTGCATATTACATATATCACAGAAATGTTATTGCCACAACTAAATGGGTCCTTAGAGAGTCCCTCCAAACTAGAGTAAGAGAGAGAATAGACAAAGAAGGCAAAAGAAGAAATACTTAGAGGACTAACTAACTGAGCCATGGTGGTGCAATTGTTAGAACGCAGTACTGCAGGCTACTTCTGTTGACTGCTGACTGCTGGCTGCCTGCAATTTGGCAGTTCAAATCTCACCAGGCTCAAGGTTGACTAAGCCTTCCTTGCTCCCTGTTGGGGGCAAGAAGCTGACTCTATAAAACCACTTTGAGAGGGGTGTAAAACACTGTGAAGTGGTATGTGTTCTGTCCCCATCCCACATACGCACACAAACAGACAGCCAGGGGTTAAATAAACTGGCAGACAACCAATTCTTCTGATAAGACGCTTGGCAGCAACCCAGTAGCTGCTTGCCAAGAACTTTTACTCAATAAACAAAATACCCACAGTCAAGAATTGTCCAGTTCGTAAAATAAATCCAAGGCCGATAATGTTGTTTCCAAAGATGCAATGTGACTTGATAGTAGTTAGTTTTGTCCATCACAGAGTCTGAATGGCCACCTCACCCCCTTTTATACCCTGTGGGGTGTGGTCCAGTGACTCAGCTTAATCTCTGGCACGCCTTTTCTTCTGTTGCACGCGCTTATCTCTATGACGCTGCTGAGGATCCAGCCAAAACTCATTACCCTCATCACTGTCCACCTGTGGCTGCATGGACGTCTTGGCACCAGCCCTATCTCTTGCCCTTCGGCGGTCACCAAAGGCATTGCCAGAGAGGAGGGTCCTGGAGAGGGAGGCCTTGCCAACTCCTCTCCTTCACTCTCAGAGTCCTCTCCTGCCGATGACACAGGCTCAGGTAATGGAGCCACAACACTATGTAAGTGCTATTGCTAACTCCCAAACCATTTAGTACAGTGTTCATCAACCTTGGTGACTTTTTTTTTTTAATTTTTAAAATTTTTATTAATTTAAGAAACCACATAATACATTTATAAATGCAAGTAAAACAATTTACAACAAACATCATCTTTATAACATCTACCTATAATATCTGAATTGTTACAATATCAATATCCTATATTCTTCAATATACAATATTTCTCTCACCTTATAGAATGATATTATTTTATTGATATCTCGTGTCTCTTTCTTAAATTTCATTTGATGTAAAAATTTATTTTACTCTATTGATATCTTTTCTTTTATTTAATTTTTCTTTCTTTCTTCTTCTCTTTTTTTTTTTCACTTCCCTCTAACTATTTATACCATTTTTGCCAGACCAGATAATATTCAGATTCTTCTTTTCCTTGGATCTCCTTGGTAAGTTTATTCATCTCAGCACATTCCATAATTTTGGATATTAATTTCTCTTGAGTCGGGACCTCTTCTTGTTTCCAATTTTGTGTGTATATAATTCTTGCTGCAGTCAAAATGTGTGTTATTAAATATATTATTTCTTTTTTGTATTTGCTTGTAGGTATTCCTAATAAATAAGTTTCTGGCTTTAATGGCACCTTTTGAGTTATTATTTGTTCCAGTTGCATTTTTATATTGTTCCAGAAATTTTTAGCTTTGGGACATGACCACCATATATGATAGTATGTCCCTTTATGTGCTTTACATTTCCAACAGAGTGGAGATGTGCCGGGAAACATTTTAGAAATTCGCGCAGGTGGTAGATGCCACCTATAGAACAATTTATAACCTTGGTGACTTTAAGATGTGTGGACTTCAACTCTCAGAAGTCCGCAGCCAACATTTTAAAATCTTAAAACTTGCCAAAGTTGAAAAAAACCTGATCTATATGAAAAGAAGCTGGGATTCAGTCTAAAATCAGAGTTACAAGAGTACCGACCATTTCAATATATAACACTTGTTGTTGCCAAAGTTGTAATAAACATAGATTTAGGATTAGTAATATGTTAAGTAGGCCTGGAACCACCAGGGCAAACCAAAAAATATTAGATTGATTGTTCAGGCTGTCCCAGACCTGGTTTGTCGTTGTCTTTTGTATCACACAGTTCCTAGGTAGGTGTGAAGGGCAATTGTATGTAGAAAACACTGCCATAGTTATTATTATCTGTAATAAACTATAGATAAAATACAGTAGTGGCCAAAATTGTGGAAACCTTTTGGGAAAAGTGCATTTTCTAAAACTAGCTAATAACACCACTTTTTTGGGGAGTAGTACAGGAGTGAAATCCAGCAGGTTCTGACAGGTTCTGGAGAACCAATAGCGGAAATTTTGAGCAGTTCAAAGAACTGGTAGCGGAAATTTTGAATAGTTCGGACAACCGGCAAATACCACCTCTGGCTGGCCCCAGAGTGGGATGGGAATGGAGATTTTGTAGTATCCTTCCCCTGGAGTGGGGTGGGAATGGAGATTTTGCAGTATCCTTCCCCTGCCACACCCACTAAGCCACGCCCACCAAGCCACACCATGCCCACCAAGCCACACCCACAGAACCGGTAGTAAAAAAATTTGGATTTCACCACTGGAGTAGTACCATAAAATTATATATCAATGGGAAGATAATTTAATCAAGAACATAATGCAATAACGTTTATGAAGGATTTGCTATTAGAATAGCAGTTACAGTATACAGAAGAAAAGGGAAACACGTAGAAAAAAAATGAGATATACAAAAATCATCCTCATAGACAAAAACGAGATATACAAAAATTATCACCATGTCAGTTAATACTTAGCTGGCTAACCTTTAGCATGAATTTTGGCCTTACAATGCTTTCCATGGACTGAACCAAGTCTTTGAGTTCTGCAGCTGTTATAATGTGAAACCAAGATTGAATGGTGGCTTCTATTAACTGGGTTTTATTGCTGGGTCGCTTCTGACTAACAAGTTTCTTTAGTCGGCTCCATAGATTTTCAATTGAGTTAAGGTCTGGGAAGGAAGAGAAGAATAATAGTAATACAGTCTTCGTAAATTATTTGACACTGTTGTGGGAATTAGTTGTTAAGTAGAGTGATGGCATTCTACAAAATCCGTAGGCTATACTGGAAATTCTAAAAAAAAATTGGAAGAAAATAATAAACAACTTCTATATTATTGGCAAGACAACTTAAACATAGATACATATGTCTACGGTTTCCTGCTTGTAGGAGGGTTGGACTCGATGGCCTACAAGGTGAATTCTTGTACTGTGACTGTGAATTCACCAGCTTGCCTCAAACAAGTCTTCCTCTTTATAACTCTAATATGCTTTCATTGTGGTATCTACTGATTAGGTGTTGAAGGCAGCAGTGGGTTTCACATTGCGTTACTACCAGTTCGCTGAAAGCGTGCACACTCGCTTTGTGCGTTTGCGTGCCCGGTTTGCTTGCTCGAGTGCCTGGTTCGCATGTCACGCCTGCCTTCCACTCATCTGCCCAGCTTTCTGCACATGTGATTTGCTAAAAACGTGTCTAAATACAATGCCATAGAGCCAGGGCCGGTGGGGAAGCCCACCCACGATTTCCGCTTCCGGTTCGAGCGAACCGGTCCAAAGCGGCTGAATACCACCTCTGATTGAAGGACAAAGTTTCAGGATGCTACACATTCCCACATTTCGTTAAATATCAATGGAATCTAAAGCCATCTACTCATAATCTCAATCTAATCCTGGGTCATGCTTAAAATAACTGCGGAAATGTTCTCGGAATAATGTTTCCTTCTCTGCTCAGTTATTCAGCATTGGCTCCAGAAATTTGTATGAGGCTGTATCACTGTGGATGGGGCAGTAGCACGGTGATTAACATCCATACAAAATCTTTGTCGAGTCGGAAGGAGTACTAGCCAAAAGGGGAAACTTTCATACAATAACTGGGTTGTTTTTTTTGTCAAGTTTTTTTAAAATTTATATATAAGTATTTTGAATACAGTGTATTGTCTTTGTGTATTTTACAAAAGAAAAAAAATACTGATAGTAATAATAATAATACAACAGAATGATTCTAACCAGAGTTATAATTATATTCACTTATTTATGTTCCTGTTAATTATATTAGCATGCTTGTAATTTTAAACAAAATTCATATTTTACTTAAACATAGCAATACTCTTTCTTCATCTGATCTCTACCTCTTATCTCTAACCATTGATAAAACCTATTCCACATTAAATAATATTCAGTGCCTCCGTTATCTTTTATTTTCAATGTCGATCTATCCATCTCTGCACAGTCCAATATTTTCCGAATTATATTTTCATCTGGTTGGGTGTTCTCATTTATCCAATATTGTGCAAATACGATTCTCGCTGCTGTGAATACATGTAACATTAAATATATAGTCCCTTTGTCATAACTTTCTGGTATTATACCTAACAAAAATATTTCTGGTTTTAAGTCTATGTATTGCTTAATCATCTTTTCCAACCATGCCTGTATTTTCATCCAATATTTTCTTGCCTTCATGCATGTCCACCACATATGCTTATAAGTACCTGGAGTCTGATTGCATTTCCAACATTCATACAATATCTGAATCATGACAGTACAGTGAAGATAAGTCAAGAAACCTCATCATGCAAGTCTTTTGAAATGATACATTCCAAAAAATAACATATTTTAAAAGATAGGCAGTAAAAATATGCAAAACTGGCCTTTTACTTCACAAAGCTCTTTAGTTGCCATTCCAAGTGGGTTTTGTTTTTTTGGGGTTTTTTTTTTTTGTTTGTTTTTTTGTTTTGTTTTGCCCAAAGCAGTTTAATAATCCAACGTCATGATTATAAATGTTGAGATGGCTGGAAATGTTTTACTTCAGGTGCTTTGGAGACTAGGGGCTGAACCTGTTCTTCAAAGCACCTGAAGGCAGGACAAGAAGTAACGGATGGAAACTAATCAAGGGGAAAATCAACCTAGAACTAAGGAGAAATTTCCTGATAGTGAGAAAAATTAACCAGTGGAACAGCTTGCCAACAGAAGTTGTGAGTGCTCCAACACTGCACCTAGATACACCCACATTACACCAATTCTCCACGAGCTGCACTGGCTCCCTATTGGTCTCCAGGCACAATTCAAGGTGTTGGTTATTACCTTTAAAGCCCTACATGGCTCAGGGCCAGGCTATCTTCGAGACCGCCTTCTACCGCATAGCTCCCAGCGACCGGTAAGATCCCACAGAGTTGGTCTCCTCCGGGTCCCATCAGCTAAACAATGCTGGCTGGCGGGCCCGCAGGGGAGGGCCTTCTCTGTGGCTGCCCTGGCTCTCTGGAACCAATTACCTCCTGAGGTCCAGACTACCCCCACCCTATTGGCCTTCCGGAAAGCGGTGAAGACCTGGCTTTTCCGGCAGGCCTGGGGCCGTTGATCTTGCTGTTCAATCTTGCGAAATCCGGCCATGGATGGTGTGCATGGGTTTTTAATGTTTTAAAAATGCCTTTATAATGTTTTTTTTTAAAAAAATATGTCACTGTTTGTATTATTTCTCTTGTAAGCCGCCCAGAGTCCCTTGGGAGTTGGTCGTCATAGAAATATGATAAATTAAATTATACGGATTTACTTGTCTATTTTAGGTTGCCCTCTGTCTCATCAGACAAGCAATTCAGAGGTGGTGAACAACAAAGATCAAACAACCAATAAACCCCAGCAAAGCTAAAATAATTATCAATAAATCACAACACAAGAGTCATCCTGTCTTTTTTGAGAAAGAGTCCACTGCAGAATCAACCTGAAGGCTGCGAATTGTAGTCTCCTCTTAACAACAGGACAATGAATACGTATACATTTTCATCCAGCTATGTCATTACCATTGCATGATTCATAAGGGACCAGGACTAAGGACAAGAAGCTATTAGAACAGGGCTATCAAACTTGCGGCCCGTGGGCCGGATGTGTCACATGTTGCCCACGCCCCTGCTCAGTTTATCGAATGGGGAAAAGAGTCCCGATACGTTACATGACGGATTTGACACCTCTGCATTAGAATAAGTCAAAAGAGAATACAATTGGCTTCTCACATATATCAGTGGTGGGATTCAAATAATTTAACAACCAGTTCTCTGCCCTAATGACCGGTTGGATGGCCGTAGCCATAGTGGGAGTGGCCAGGGGGTGTGACAGGCAGCACTCGGCCCCCCACACCCCATTTTGGGCCTAGTAGACCTCCCTGCAGCATCCTGGGAGTGAAAATGGGCTGGGGGAGGGGGCGCTGCACTGCCCCCCCATGCCCTGTTTTGGGCCTAGGAGGTCTCCCTGCCTCCTAGGCCCAAAATGGGAGGTGTGGGAGTCAAAATGGGGCATGTGGGGACTCCTGGAAGGGGTGGGGCAGGGAGGGGTGGAGCCAGACAGCAATTTAACTGCCAGGGGGCTGCCACAAAGAAGAGGGAGTCAAGCTATTCTCCTGAGCACCTGAGGGTAGGACAAGAAGCAATGGGTGGTAACTAACCATGGAGAGAAGCAACTTAGAACTAAGGAAAAATTTGATAGTGAGAACAATTAATCAGTGGAACAACTTGCCTCCAGAAGTTGTAAATGCTCCAACACTGGAAGTTTTTAAGAAGATGTTGGATAACCATTTAGCAGGGGGTTGGACTACAAGAACTCTAAGATCTCTTCCAACTCTGTTATTCTAAATTCTAAAACAATTAAGTATGGCCAGTCTAGAGAAAAGAAGGACTTGGGGTGACATGATAGCAATACTCCAGTATTTGTGGAGCTGCCGCAAAGAAGAGGGGCTCAACTTATTCTCCAAAGCCCCAGAAAGCAAGACAAGAAGCAATGGATGGAAACTAATCAAGGGGAGAAGCAACCTGGAATTAAGGAGAAACCTCCTAACAGTGAGGACAATTAACCAGTGCCTTTTAGAAGTTGTGGGTGCTTCATCACTGGCAGTTTTGAAGAAAAGACTACCTATCTGAAATGGTATAGGATCTTTTATTTGAGCAGGGGGTTGGACTAGAATAGGGGTGTCAAACTCAAGGCCCACGGGCCATATTAGACCTGTGATGTGGTCGGATCTGGCCCGCGGGGCCATCCTGGAAAATGTAAGGGGCCAGCCCGCATCGCTTCAGCCTGGTCTACCCAATGTGAAGAGGACACATGCCAGCAGTTTGAGGAGTGGCGTCAATCTGGCCATGCCCATCCAGTTGGCCACACCCACCCAACCAGTCAGCCATGCCTGCCTGCCTCCCTCCACCACCCCCACCAGGTCAACCACAGCCCAGGAATGAAATGCTACCAGTTCGGGCTAACTGGTAGTGATAAAAACTACCGGTTTGCGTGAACCAGTAGTAAAAAAAATGCTTTAAAAAGTTTTTTTCAAAAAGGTTCCAACAATTGCACAGCATAGCTTTGATCGACGGAACCTTTTTATTTTAAACTTTTTTTAAAGCATTTTTTTACTACCGGTTCGGGCGAATAGGTAGTAAAAATGCTTTAAAAAGTAAAAAAAAAAAAAAAAAAAAGTTGGCCACACCCAGCCAGTCACATGACCCCACCACCAAGACACGCCCACCAAGACACGCCCACAGAACTGGTAGCAAAAAAAAATTGCATTTCACCACTGCTGAAGCCCTGATCCGACCTGCAATGAAATTGAATTTGACACAGTGGCGGGTTGCTCCCGGTTCGGTCCGGTTCTATAGAACCGGTAGTAAAACTGGTGGGAGGCTCCGCCCACCCACCCCGACATCATCATGGATGATCTGCACCTGTGCAGAAGTTTCTGCGTATATGCAGAACCGCGTGTGCTCCCGTTGCAAACTGGTAGTAAAGGTAAGTGGTCCGTTTCAGCTCTATTCTGATTGGTTGAGATAAAGACTGCCTTCAGACCCATTGCAACGTCTTCCAGTTCTAACTGTGCAAATCTTTATTCCAGGAAGAGAAACCTGAGTCAGTTCTTGTCAAGGCATAAATCACTGTGCGACAGGATAGCACAGTGATACAATCCATTAAGTAAACTCCC